TCTAAATAAGTAAAAAAAAAGTGTCCGAATATTTTCAGGAAGAGATTCAGTGGTACACATACAACAGTGTTTCAAAAAATGACAATTTTTTTTTACAATTTTCGAGAAGAAAAGGTTTGCTGCTGAGTGGCTTTTGAGCGCTTTTTCCTCTTGCACAGAATAAACATGGAAAGCAGATTTCGGTGTTTGATTTCATTTAAAATATGTGGAAATCGTAATCTTTAGAACTATTTTATCAAGAAAAAAGTGTATGAAGCGAGACGGGAGCAAAAAAATAGCGTTTCGTCGCTAACCTTTGGTTCACCAAAGTGCACATAATTGATGGAATAAAGATCCATATCTTCGGGATGCCACGGAAATGTTGCCTTCCACATACCAAAATATAAATAGACAGTATTCACGCCTTTGATTTTCACCTATAAGCAAAAATTTAAAAGCCACAGCACATATAAGATTAAGAAAAGTGACAAAATTTGCCGCAATTAATATTTATTACAGAAACTGGAATGCTTTAGTGCATTTTTTGCATCTATGCAGTGCAAAAACGCATGCTGTGATGGATTTCCCTCTCTTTGTGCGCGTGCATTATGTTAACTTATACGTGCATTTCCAGCATTGGTTCTAAGAAAGCTAGGAAGCTGAAATTTTAAAAACTCAGTCTGTTACTACTTGCGGGTCTTCAGCGATAAAACAGACGTTCATGTTCCCCTAGTATGAATTTTAGTGTCTACGATTTTCAATTTATGGCTATACAAGGAGCCTAGTAAAACCATGCATTTCTGCGATTAACTGATTGTCAATGGGCGAGCGAGAGTTTAAAAAAAAATTTCAATTATTCAGGCATTATTTGCAGGCGATCATTCCCGCCATGAGACAGCAGACATGAATCAATTTGTGTTTTATTCTCCTTAACTCTTGGTTTTCGCTGTCTAATTCAAGTTATTAAATTCTACTGACCACGTTGTATTAAGAGAAGTAATGCTGTCCGATTTCGCTGAAAACAACTGTGAAGAGAATGGCGGCCGTCGGACGACAGAGTCAGGGACAGGGGTGTTCGTGCACCCAAAAAACTTTAATTCCATGATTTGCTAGAATTCCGTCTTTTTTTTGCTAGAATTCGGTCTAATTTTTGGACAAGAGCCAAAAATAGGAGCGGAGAGTGCCGCTGAATTGAATGTAGATTTGGCACTTGTTCATAATACTCACAGTTATACCGAAGGGAATGGAAGGTGGCACTGAAGTCAGGGATTGAGGGCATGTCTCTTCCGTCAGATAACCATTCGTACAATTCATTTCGATAGTAAACTGCCACTAAAATATGCCAGATAGCCAAACGAACCCTCGGCTTAATTGCAGATAACTCTCGGAAGAGTAAACCATCGATAGCATTGCCAACGGGTAGTAGCTCTAGGCACAGCTATCTTTCTTGGGCTACTTCCCGAATGCCTTCACCGTTCACCGAGGGAGCATAAGCTTCCTGACTCAAGCATAGAACGCTGAATGATTATCCAGAATTGCCTACTGGCCAGTTGTGATCCCATCACAATTCGTTTAAAAAATGAGGAAAATGAGTAACAGGCACCCAAAGTTGCAATGTAGTAATACTCACAGTGGTTGGGTGACTGCTTTTGTATGATGTCGACAGGTTGCGCATGTGCTCGGCGTCACCAAAATATTTCTTAATAATTTTATTATTGTCGAAAATTTGGCAAATTTTTGCTAAAGACAAGCAGTGCCAAAACAAGCGCTCTTTCAGGAAGCCCAGTGGCACACGATTATGCGCTTTCGAAGTGTTTGAAGACGTACAGTAATTCAGTGAACGCGCGAAAAACAATAAGAAATTGGTTTCTTTTTATGCGTTTTGTGCTGTGTAACAGCAGTACAAAACGCATATTGTTACGGGGTTGTCT